TGGCAGGGGATGGCTAGTTTTAAAATAAAAGCATTGGATGTTCATGTGCGTTTGATCAGTCAGCTACTCCTCCTTCTGTGCATAGCACTATGCATGTGTAAAAACGGGGAAAGGGGGATTTTGCAGAAATTTCAGAAAAAAGCAGGGGGAGAAATCATTGTCTCATGCTCATGTTGGAGGCAAGAAATCTCATGGGAGTGATAATGAACACTTGGATCAACCTGTCAAGAGTAATTTTTGAGTAATTCAGCAACAATTCTTCACATCTCTTCCCATCCTAGAGTGATGAAAGAGGTATGACACTGTCTGGGAGAAATGGAATAAAGAAAAATAAAGAGCGAGATCTTTTCTACAGTGCCTCCATCTACCCACCCACTTGCACTGTCTTCTACCATCACTAGAGTAGCAGACATTTTCATATGAACATTAGTCCCTATTGACAATGGGTCTAGGACAACATGAGGGTTTAATTTGGTTTATAATTTAGCAGTGATGGAGTTTTGCTGGTTCAGCACAAGCGCGCTGAGCTGGAGGGAAATTTGATGGGACCTAGACTTAGCTGGCCTTTGCTCACTGACTCCCGTCATTGCATCCTGTGTCCTCAGTTCACACTCCTGCTTTTGATACAATGTAAATTTATTATTATTATTATTATTATTATTATTATTATTATTATTAACTTTATTTGTACCCCGCTAGCATCTCCCGAAGGACTTGATGCGGCCAAGGCCTCAATAAAACAACAATACATCAATACACATAAACCATAAAGCAAATCAAAACATTAAGCAATAACAGTAAAGTAAAAACAATACACCGTAGCACAATAAAACTAAAGCCAGGCCAAGTGTAGATGGGTACAGATTGAAAGTGCTGAGTATGACAGTTGAAGTATAAGGATTTTTGGGTAAGTGCAATGTGTGACAATCTTAAGTCTCTAGTTTCCTATTCTGGAAAGGCACACCGGAATAACCAAGTCTTCAAGCTCTTCCTAAAGACTGCCAACGTAGGGCAACGTAGGGGCCGGTCTTATGTCCTTGGGTCACTTGGGTTACTGGTCACCTATGTGCCAGATAGGATTCCCCCCTTTATTTTTTTTAACTTACCCAACACTGCAGATAGGGAATTGGATAGTTGGCATAGGGTGGTGCCCAAAATAGTTGTCACTTGGCAAATAAGGGGAGAGAAAGTTTAGTTCATGATGAGCACCTCTAGCACTTATTGTAGTGAAGGTCATGTCTCAGAAACTATCTCCAAGGGGCTGTGAAGCTCAGGGGAAGGGAGGAATATGAGCCTTGCAGCTGGCTTCAGATTCTGACTCCTCGCAGGAGTTGTGAAACTTGTGGGTTAGATCCTTGGGAAATAAATAGCAAGCTGGGGCTAATCCTGGAACTATTGCCCATGGACCTCATCAGATGGGCAAAATGATCTGTCCTAGGCTACTTGGACTTCAGTTGAGGCATGGAGCCCACTGGCTTCCATCACACAATGTCAAACTACTTCTGGCAGGGCTCTGTGTCTCAATGGAAATGCAAGAGTAGTAAGAGGTTGCTTTGGCAACATGGGAGGCTTCCCATGTTGCATAGTAAATAATGGGGGTTTCAATGCTTCCTATCATGGGATGGGGTGAGGGGCAAGGTTGGTGTCACAGAGTATGGGGTGATGGGTTTTCCCCACACCCCAGCCCACTGGACCCAGCTGAATTTCCCATGATCCATTTCGAATCCTTGGCAAAATGTGATGAGGTCCCAAGTTAAACAAGAGAGTAAGTTAGGAAGAGACTCCTGCTCCTGTTAGTTCCATGCTACGTCTCTCCCCCTTTTACAGATTTCAACAAGCTTCTAATTAGGTTCAGGTTTAAATAAAAGTGACCCTTATTTTCATCCAAGGTTATATGTATGGTCTCTTTATTTAGGGGGATGGGGGAACTATTGGCACAAAATAAACTGCAGCTTTCTGACATAAGATAGCATAGGATAAGAGCTTTTAATATATTTTAACTAATTTATAATGGTTTGCTCTAATGACCACTATGACATGGGCCTCTGCTAAATTGTTTCTGGCACAATCAATACAATGACCTTTTCTGCCCTGCAGCATATTTACAAATGTGCTGTCTCAGCACATTTGAAATAAAATAACTATTCATTTATTCCCTTTGCTGACTTTGGGCGTATATACTAATAAAACACTCGTGTAGTCATCCTATACTGAGTAACCAAGCCAGCTGGATGATTCCAAGAGATATAGTCTATTGAAATAACTTCTCCCAGATCTACTAATAGGATGATCGGCTGTACTAGTTTTGGTTGTCTGGATTTGAAATGCTGATGATAATGGTGGCGGTGATGGTAACAGTAACAATTATTATCGGTCTGACAGTCTACGAGTGTTATCAGGTCTTTAATTATATGGATTTTGTCCAGGAATTTATGGATCAGTGGCATGTTTTTGTAAAATGCGGGATGTTTCAAGCAGTGCTGCTTTTTGTAACTGTACTATTGTGATCCCATTGATAGCAAATTCATTGACATGTTTGATCAATCAATTTTGGATTGTGTCTGATATATCTTTTGCCCTTGGAACCACAGTTGTTTTTAGAGGCACTTTTTTTGTCATGTCAGGAGTTACTCCTGGTGTGAGAGAATTGGCCGTTTGCAAGGACGTTGCCCAAGGGACACCTGGATGATTTTGATGTTTTTATCATCCTTGTGGGAGGCTTCTCTCATGTCCCCACATGAGGAGCTGGAGCTGATAGAGGGAGCTCATCTGCCTCTCCCCGGATTCAAACCTGCAACCTGTCGGTCTTCAGTCCTGCCGGCACAGGGGTTTAACCCACTGCGCCACCGGAGGCTCCTTTTAGAGGCACTAAATCTCAGATATAATTATCAAAGCTTTGTGTTTGTCTGCCAATATTTCAAAACATCTGCAGCTATAGGGATGATAGCAGGCATAGTAAGTGGGTGGGCAATTGTTTGATATTTTGAATCTTTAAGTCCCATACGATTTTTACATAACAATTTTCAACTGCTTTTACAGGCATGCATTCCCATTAGTTCTTTCTGAGTGGTAAAATAAAAATAATAAAATAAAAATTTATTTTTAGACTGCTCTATCTCCCCCAGGGGACTCAGGGTGGTTTATACATACAAAGGCAAATATTCAATGCCCGGCATATACCAAAACATTACAGCAGTAAACATAATAAGGAATAATAACAGCATTGTACAAATCAAATGAAATTAAATATCAAAATAAAAACATAGAACAGCTAAACAAGTTCATTTAAAAGCATGGTCAACAATAAAAAATTAACATAGTCAGCACAATTAAAAATTGAGTAAGCATTAGGCTGTTAGTTGTTCTTAACTGTACCATAATGGCCACGAAGTATAGAATAGGACCACTTGCTTTTCAATGGCATTATTAAAGTGTTCTAATTCTCCTCCTCCCTGTGTACCAAAGTGCAAAGGTGAGTTTATAGTAGCTTATTGAAAGAGAGTAGGGTGGGAGCCATTTTTTTAGACCACTCTAAAGGGAGTGGGCTAAAAAAGAAGGGAGTTCCAGAGGTGGGGAGCGATCATGGAGAAGGTCCCCCTCTCTTGTCCCCACCAGTTGCACTGGGATTGAGAGGAGGACCTCCTCTGCAGACTGCAATGTCCGGGATGGTCTAGATAGGGAAGTGAGAATAGACAAAAAAGCCTGGACCCAAACCATTATTTAATTATTAACCAATAATAATTGTTGGTAGATGATATTCATCAGCATCACCACCATTACCACCACCACTACCATGATCATTCTAATCACAGAAGATGGAAACTGAAAACTGCATTCCCTCTAAAACATATCCTAGATGTATAATGTTGACATTGATGATCCCTCTAGTGGAAATGCAGTTTGCAGACTGAAATATACTGAGATGGTTATGAGCTCAACAGCCAGACTGTTTTTGATTTTCATAAGCATGGAAATGAGAGCTGGCACTTCAGTTTCAATGGAGAGGTGAATTCACTCTGTGGTTTTGAGTGGCAGCTCCTCCTCCAGAAACTAAGGGCCTCATCCCATGAGTGAGAGAAAAGCAGTGGGAACTGTCTTCCTCCAATTCCTGTCATTGAGGTCTGACCTCTGGGATGGCCAGCTATCCCATGTCCTTTCCCCATCAAAGCCCATCTTTATCCCGCTTTTTCCCTTTTGGAGTCGGGGTACACCCAACTCCTCAAAATGCATCCATGGCTTCATTTCCATGCACTGTGGAAATGGAGCCTTAAGAAGTCCCACTGGAAGTGGCCTTGTACTCAGGGGTGGCTCAACCCATTACGCAAAATAAGCATTTGCAGTATAGTTGATTTTGCCCAGGGGCACTCTTGAGTTGCTCTTGGGGGAAACTAGACCTTGACATACGTGAGTTGTAGTTACTGGGATTTATAGTTCACCTACAATCAAAGAGCATTCTGAACTCTACCAATGACGCAATTGAACCAAATATGGCACACAGAACTCCCACGACAAATAGAAAATATATATCAGTGATTGGTTGGGGGGGGGGGGCAAATACTGTTTGCTTACCATTGAAAATTACCTAGAGTTGCCTCTGCTTATAACATGTGATCGCCTCAGTGAGACTTCATTTAGGCAGTGCAGAGAAACAGAGAGAAGGTGCAGAGAAGGCTGTGTCTGAGGAGTTCCTATGTGTCATTGATCTCATCTTTGAAAGGAGTGAAGACCTTTGAAACAGATAATGGCAGCCCAGTTCCATCCTGCCAGGAGCTGGTGAGAGACTCTTTGTGTTCTAAGTACCATTCTTATGGCAGCCACCATCTGCCAGACAATCGCTTTCCCTATCGTCACCTCCTTTCTATATGTGTCCTATTTCATTTGGATTATAAGCTTGAGGAAAGGGAACTTTCAAATTAATGTAAATAACGACTATGGCCTTTTTTGAATGAAATGATGTGATCTCCACCCACTACTGTTTTTCCTTCTTCCTTTTCTTTATCATGGGAGCCACTCGCTGGGGGATCTGCTCTGCAGGGAAGATCACTCACGATTTCCTTGTCGCCCTGAAAACTTTGCCACCTGAGGATCACCAGGTGGTAGCCATTGCTTCTCAGGACCTCAGCCGGGCTCAGAAATATGCCAAGATCCATGGCATCCCCAAAGCGTATGGGTCTTATAAAGAACTTGCTGAAGATCCAGATGTGGATATAGTACACATAGGGGTGGTGAATCCCGATCATCTTCCCACCACCCTCCTCTTCATCGAGGCCAAGAAGAATGTGCTTTGCAAGAAGCCCATGGGCATGAATGTGGCAGAAGTGAAGACAATGGTGCAGGCAGCTCAGCAACACCAATTCTTCTTTATGGAGGGATATTGGACTCATTTTTCCCCTGCTACTGAGAGAATCTGTTCCTTGCTCAGCCAAGGTTCAGTTGGAGTTGTGATGGTATTTCACGCTGAATTTGGGAGCCCACAACTCACAATCCCTACATGTGTGGAGAAGGAACTGGGGGGGGGGGGAGGCCTTCTGGATATTGGTGGCTATTGTATCCAGTTTGCCTGTATGATCTTCAATGGAGAAGAACCAGAATTGATCACGGCCTCTGGGTTCCTGCATGATACAGGTGTGGATAAAACTGTATCAATCATTATGAACTATTTAGGTCAATGTCAGGAATAAAATGATATAAATGTGTGCACGCACTTAGCATCAAATCACCTGTTGACTTATGGCAGCCCCATAAATGTCATAGATTTTGCTTAGTCACAGAATACTCAGAGGTGGCTTCTCCAGTTCCTTCCTCTTAAATATATTCCATAGTACCTAACATTGGTTTGCAGTCTACCATGCATTGCAAAAATCTGTGGATCAAAGTAGGATGAAATAATCAATTGTATAAACTGGATTACAAATCATGAAACTTAGGTGTGTGTGTTAGCAGTCACCAACATAAATTGTAAACAAGTGTTTTTTGAAAGATTTTAAAGAAATTTATTATTTTCCTCTTCTTCCCTTTGTTCATTTTTCAGCAAGCAAGTGTGCATATTTTCATGAATGGGAGGTTTCTGTGCAAGCATTTAAATGTTAACAGTGTATGTGTGTGGAATATGATAGATTCTCCATCTGGCTGGTATTCAAGTGAGATTTTTGAATGCTTCACTAGGCTCAGTTGAAACGAAGTAAGGTATTTCTTCACCTAGATTCTCTTTGAAATCTCTCTCTCTCTCTCTCTCTCTCTCTCTCAGACTTCGGCCCAAGCTTTGTGAAGTACTTTTATGAACACTATAGACTTAAAAGATTTTAACTTGGAAAGAACTTTCTCTTTGTATTGTCGAAGGCTTCCATGGCCGGAATCACTGGGTTGTTGTAGGTTTTTTTGGGCTATATGGCCATGGTCTAGAGGCATTTTCTGACGTTTTGCCTGCATCTATGGCAAGCATCCTCAGAGGTAGTGAGGTCTGTTGGAAGTAGGAAAATGGGTTTATATATCTGTGGAATGAACAGGGTACTTTCTCTTTCTCTCTTTGGGTAGGATTCCTCCATCCTCACTAAGCTAGCAAAACATAAGATAGTGTTAGCTTGCTTGGAATATTATTACCTTAGCTACAAAAACCACGAGAGAACATTTTAAGTAGATTATTTTCCCAAAAAGGATCTCTCTCTCTAAAAAAAGGTAATATCCTTTCCTTTTTTGTATTTTTACTGCTGTGCTATAAGCAATATAATTACACTGTTACATCAACTATTACTGCTGCTGTCACTATTTATTTATTTATTTATTTATTTATTATTTATTTATTTACAGTTCTTATATTCCGCCCTTCTCACCCCGCAGGGGACTCAGGGCGGATTACAGTAAACACATATATGGCAAACATTCAATGCCAGTTTGACAAACAACATTTAACAGACACCGAGGCTATTTAACTTTTTTCTGGCCGCCAGGGGAGCTGCTGCTTTTCATCGTCCATCAAAGACACTGATGAAGTTCTTCCGCATTCCACATTCCCCGGAGTCTTTTTCCTTATGGCCTCATAAATTAGTTAAATTTAGCCTCCCACACAAGGTGGTACCTTATTTTCCTACTTGACAAATGCAACTGTCTTTCGGGTTGCAAAGGTCGACAACGGGCTACACAATGGCTGGACACCCACTCCAGCCCGGGCTGGCTTCGAACTCATGACCTTTTGGTCAGAGTGATCTTAATGCAGCTGACACTCAGCCAGCTGTGCCACAATCCCGGTGCTACACTACTATTTTTACCTCTCCTTGTGACTCCAGGTGGGTTACAACATAGCTAAAAACACATAATAATCATAAACATTATAAAATACACAAAATGATTTCTATAAATGCATATATTTAAATGCACAGAACAAAGTTTAAAATATTGTGAATACAAGGCAAGAGTATACAATTCATAATAAAAACTGACTAGGTAAGCCTGCTGGTCTTCAGATGTGTTTAAATTCTGACAATTCATAAAAGTATGTTATAAACAACTTATATTACTTAGACCAGTGGTTCCCAACAATTTTACCAGCTGTTAGGATTTGTGGGAGTTGAAGTCCAAAACACATAGAATCATAGAATCAAAGAGTTGGAAGAGACCTCATGGGCCATCCAGTCCAACCCCCTGCCAAGAAGCAGGAATATTGCATTCAAAGCACCCCTGACAGATGGCCATCCAACCTCTGTTTAAAGCTTCCAAAGAAGGAGCCTCCACCACACTCCGGGGCAGAGAGTTCCACTGCTGAACGGCTCTCACAGTCAGGAAGTTCTTCCTCATGTTCAGATGGAATCTCCTCTCTTGTAGTTTGAAGCCATTGTTCCACGTCATAGTCTCCAAGGAAGCAGAAAACAAGCTTGCTCCCTCCTCCCTGTGGCTTCCTCTCACATATTTATACATGGCTATCATATCTCCTCTCAGCCTTCTCTTCTTCAGGCTAAACATGCCCAGCTCCTTAAGCCGCTCCTCATAGGGCTTGAGGAGGTTCAAAGGTTGGGAACCACTGACCAAGACCCAATTTCTCCCTTCAAAAATAAAAAAAAATATATTGCTCCAGCCTTCACTTATAAAAGGAACGAAAAGCATAAAAAGAAAAAAAATTAAAAGGTTAGAATTAACTTTCTCACTTACCAATCCAAAGATATTTCTAAAAAAACCCACAATTAATCATCTTACCGCTAGTATATAGCATTTAAAGATTTAATTTCTACTATATAATAACATAATTATTAAACTTAATCTTCAAATCTCACAAGAGTCTTCATATTTTCTTTCTTTTATAAAAGTTATTAAAAGGTTCCTTAGAAAGAAATTTTCTAAAGATGTCTCTTTTATCATACAGTACTAGAGATAATATTTCCATTTTTGCTATTTCAAACATTTCTACAATCTAGTTTTCTCTTGAAGATCTTCATTTGTCTGTCTTTGTCTGTAAAGTACTCTTTATTTAATGTATTAATTTGAAATTCATTTTTGATAAAAAATAAAATAAAAAATAAAGCCAGATCTAGGGCCACTTTGATTTGTTAGATCTATTGTCTCAAGCCTTGGGTTACTTTCCAGTATTTTTTTCTATTGCTTTGTCACATATCCACCATGTTACTTGGTAGACTTCACACTTCCAATACCCACTTTTAGACATTTTATACATCCGAGTTTAGTCAGAGGCAGAGGTAATTTTCAACGGTAAGCAAACAGTATTTTGCCCCCCCCCCCAACCAATCACTTATATATATTTTCTGTTCATCGTGGGAGTTCTGTGTGCCAAATTTGGTTCAATTCCATCATTGGTGGAGTTCAGAATGCTCTTTGATTGTAGGTGAACTATACATCCCAGTAACTACAACTTGCATATGTCAAGGTCTATTTTCCTCCAAGAGCGCTTCAAGAGCGCCCCGGGCAAAATCAACTATACTGCAAAGGCTTACTTTGCATAATGGTTGAGCCGCCCTTGGTCAGATGTATCACTATCTGTGCATCATGTTACATTTAAATCTTGATAGTATCGGTTAGCACTCCATCTTCAGATGAGCATACTACTTTTGCAATCTAAATCCAGCTCCTACGTAATAGATTAATAAGAAAATATATATAAGTAATTCCTTCCCTTCTTTTTTAGTTTAATAATTAGCTAGAGAAGAAATTGCTCAAGGATATAGAAGAATGTCTATGGCAGTCAGAAGGAACTAATAAAGCCATACATTTCCAAGACATTGTAAGAGATGACTATTGTATCAATCCTGAAAGAGGGTTAGGATTTGACAGTGGGAAGGAGATGTGGACCAGCTTGACTTTCGAATAATGATTATAAAAGCCTTGCAATGATTTTGACTGAAAGGCTGAAAATCATTCATGAGGATTTCATTTAGAGAAATCTGTGTGGATTTTTGGGTAACACAATAATCATTTTAGACATTTTGGAATACTTGCAATGATATAATGAGTAGTAAGTGGCACTGATTTTTTTGAGGAATGAGAGACTTCTCACAATTTGATGAGGCTTTCTTATCCATAATTTTTGAACAGAATGGTGACCAAAATGATCAAAGGTTTGGAAGCCAAGTCCTATGAGAAGCAATTGAGGGAGCTGAATATGTTTAGCTCCCTCAATTTATGGATAATTTGAGTTTAAAATTCAGAAAAGGGTTATAACCTGATATTACTGTGATAAATTGTATATTATTTCAGAATAATTATGTCAAGACATGGGATGGAATTAAGAATGATTTGATAAAATGAAAGAAATTAAATTTGTCACTTAGGGAGAATTTCAGTGATAAAGATGAATGTTCTCACCAGCATATTGTTTTTATTTCAGACAGTATCAATTTTGACTAATGATGTGCCATTGAAGCAATGGCAGAAAGATTTGTTGAAATGCATTTGGCAAGGAAAGAAAACAAGAGTTAAATACAATGTTTTGCAAGACGCAAACGAAAGAGTGGAGTTGGATTTACTGGATTTGAAACTGTATTTTTCTGCATTTTGTTTGGTTTTGTAAAATATTGAATTGTGTCAAGTAATAAGTTAATGATTACTGTTGGTTTAAGACTCGATTAAAATTGACTAGAATGCTTAAACATAAACAACCTGGACACAGCATATTATTTGAGAACACAGAAATGCTGGACCACTCCAACAACCACTATGTCAGACTACACAGAAAAGCCATTGAAATCCACAAGCAAGTGGACAATTTCAACAGAAAGGAAGAAACCATGAAAATGAACAAAATCTGGCTACCAGTATTAAAAAAACTCAAAAATTACAACAGCACAACAACAGAGAGTAAACAATCAGACACATCAAATCACTCCCAACAAAAGATTCCCCCCAAGCACTTCCAAGTTATTAAATGCTAATCAAGGTGGCCAGTTGAAACATTCACACCTAGCTCCAGCAGACAAAAGTCCTTTGTCCCACCCTGGTCATTCCACAGATATATAAACCCATTTTCCTACTTCCAACAGACCTCACCACCTCTGAGGATGCTTGCCATTGATGCAGGCGAAATGTCAGTAGAAAATGCCTCTAGAACATGGCCATATAGCCCGGAAAAACCTACAACAACCCTGCATAAACATATACTGGAAGTGTCATCAATATGTTGGAAAATTCTATCATTCATGGTGGACATGAGAAAATGCTGTTTGGGGCTCAAATATATATT